CAAACTGACAATGGGTTTAACATACATCACCTGCTAACATCATAGCTTTGCAATACAGCCCACCAAAGCATGGTAACTGTTCACTCTAGTGCTCACATGGCTGGCTGGCAGCCCTGGCTGCCTGCCACTGTTCAGCTTCCCAAGAAAGTATTATAGCACATATTGCTGGCCAAGGAAAAGATCAGAATTCAAAATGCACTTTTACCACTTACAAATCACTTTCGTACCACCTGAAAGCTGGAAAATCATAGGTCACACCATTAGATGCTTAGAACCTCTATCTAGACTTTAATGTTTCTGTTCTCAGTTTGTGGCTTCACCCGGATGTACTGACTTCTTGGCTGGTTTCTGCAGTTCTCTGAGAGGCCTTTTCGATCCATGTCGTGACTCTGTGGGCAGATGAGTCTGGGGCTTCCTGTTCTGGCGTCTCACTCTGTGATAAAGTCCACTTTTGGTTCAATACATTTCTTACTTAAGACATTTCGTATCCATTTCATTTTGTTTTTAAAAGTGTGAATTTAAAAAATGTGAATTCAATTTTTGAAATAATGAAGAAAAGCCCTTTATTTCCAAGAGAAGAAAACCCATGAAAAAATCACAGATTTGTAATGTCATATTTTAAAATTTATTTTAAACTACAGTAATAACCAACCTATATTCACTACTGTGACATTTCCCAAATTCTTAACAAAAGCACTTTGTTATGGTATAAGAATAAATGAATGCGAGCTATCATGGAGCAGACATTTAAAATGTCATTTATCACTACAGATAAGAAAAATTGTGAAATAAATTGATTTGAGTTTCACTTTTTTTCTTTTGCTCTTTAGGCATTAGGATTTTTGTCCTCTTATGGAATAGGAATGGAATATGATCAAGCCAAGGTAAAGTCAATACTTGCTTTTTCTGCAACAAAGCTAGTTTTGTTTTAATGAAGAAAATTGACATTGAGTGACATCTACTCTTTAAGTAAAGGGGTTTACTCTACCTTGGTGGTTGAGAGCATCAACTCAACACAAAATTTATCATTCTTCTACATCAGGTTTCTTAATGTGTCATATATCAGGTTTTTTTTTTTTTTTTTTTTTTTTTCCTTGGTGGAACCAGGGATTGCACTCAGGCCCTTGAGCTTGCCAGGCAAGCACTTATTTTACTGAGCCATCTCCCCAGCCCTCATATATCTGGTTCTTGACTGATGGTAAGTATCTTATCTATAAAGGTCTTTGCACAGAGTCCAGTCTGGTAAGTTTAAGAGTCAGCTTTCTTAGAAGAACAAAATAAAATTTGAGATTCATTTTGCAATATTTTATTATTCACGGCTGGGCTATTACATTTCTAGGTCTCTTCCCCACAGAGTTAAACACATCCTGGTACAATGTTCTGCATGTTTTCGTGTCTACCACAGCACAACTCGTAACAGCTAAATCTTGGAAGCAGGCTGTATGTCCATCAACAGATGGATAATAAAGAAAGTGTGTTATTTATTCACAATGGAGCACTGCTGTGTCATAAAGAAGGATAAGTCTGAGTCATTTATAGCAAAATAGATACATCTTGAGGTCATGATGTTAAGTGAAATAAATCAGTCACACAGGTTATATATGACATGATAGCCAAGAATGGTGGTGCATGCCTGTAATCCCAGCATTCTGGGGTCTGACACAGGAAGACTGCCATGAGTGCAAGGCCAGCATAGGCTACATAGTGGGTTTAAGGCCAGCCTGAGCTATACAGTGAGACCCTGTTTCAAAACCAAACCAAAATAAACAAAAGCAAAACAAGAGGCATGATTTTTCTGATATGAGAAACCAAAAATATAAATACACAGTAAAATAGAAGATAAGAGGAAATAGGAAGATGTATCTTTTACAAAAGGGAAGGAGATCAAGAGATGGAAGTGGAGAAGAGAGGACAAGAAAAGAAAGAAATGGAAAAGAATTAAGATGTGTTATATACATGTAACAATTCCCCATGATTAAAATAATCATGATGTACTGCAAACCTATGTATAAATAAAAAATATTCACTTCTGGGATTATGGCAAAAAAAGCAATAATTGGCTTGACTTTCAAATCTAGATAACCAAAATAATTTTTTTTTAATTTTAGGCACTGATATATTACACCTTTGGAAGTGCTGGAGGGAGTATGATGTCACAGATGATTTTGGTTTGTAACTTAAATATTCTTGCACCATAAAAGATATATTATTAAAAAGGATTATCTGAATATTAAGAATATAAATATATATTTGTGTTTTAGGGGTACAGATATTTGTCAGGAATCAACGTTCTACAAGATTGTGAAACTGCCCTAACTCACTACAAGAAAGTGGCAGATTATAGTGAGTCATCTTCAAAATTTATTTTAAGATAAATAGACTTGGGTCTGAGAATGGATGGATAGTGACAGAGTACTTGCCAATCATGTGAAAAACTCTAGGTTCAATCCCCAGCACAGCAAAAATATAAACAGCCAAAAATGAAAAGGAATGAAACAGCCTTGCCAATAAATCTTTAAAAATCAGCACTAAATTCCATAAATATATAGTAATATTAAGTCTCTACTTTTAATACTTGCTATAATACAACTATTTTAATACAATGATGAGTTTCTGTTTAAGTTATTTTTCAAAAAGTTTTAAATCTTTTTTTAAAAATTAATGTATTTGGTACAGGGTCTCACTATGCAGCTCAGACTTGTAGTGATCCTCCTGTTTTCAGCCTCCCCAGTCCTGGATTATAGGCATGCACCACAACGCCTGGAGTTGGTGGCCAGCTCAGCAAGCCCCAGTGGCATGTGGTGCCAGGAACCGAACCTCCAGTCCCTGCACTTGCCTTAGTCCACTGAGCTATCTCACTGGCCCTCGAAAAGATTTAATTCTTATATTCATCCCTTATTTTTCATGTTATACATTCCAAATGTTTACATTTCATTTGTTCTTGCAATGTTCATTTCTGGAAATCAGAACCAATAACTATTAAGTACTTACCATAAATCTAACATTCAAAAATGAGATAGTTTGTTAAATTTTCTAATGAAATGAATATAAGGTATGCACCCTGGAAAGATCTATCACTGCACTTGAGAACAATCCAGGCAATTATTACTCTATTACCCTGTGATTTATGTACAAAAAAATAGAGCATAAGGCTAAAAAATGTTCTTTAGATCACTCTCAAAATTGTATGCAACATTTCATATTACAACATCAGTGAAGCAAACTATATAATAAAGTTTTAAATAGAGGTCTTTCAAGAAATGAATAAAGTCAACTCAACTTTGCTTAATATCTGTAATAATCTAAGTCTATACCTGTGGAGTTATGAGGGTTTGAGAGAAGGAAGAGGAAAAACCTACTTCTGAATTCAAGTTGTCTCATAAAATCATTTCATATCTTTAAAAAATGTGCAATTACTATGTCTATATATGAATAATATTCCTTGCAGTTTTCTCAGAACCAAATAAATAAAAATCACAAATTTCTATTCCCCAATGGATCTTCCCTGTTACTAGAACAGATTTCTGCAGATTTAAGCAGAATAAGCCTAATAATGTTGCTTCTACGTTCACTGTCATCTTTTGCAGCCTATGTTTTGTAGCTATTCCCTGGCTTGTTTCTATTCACAGTTGCTGACAAACTGGAAAAAAATGAAGGCATTCCAGTGGAAAAAGTGAGGCTAACTGAGAGACTGGAAAATTTGAGTTCTAACAGTGAGATTTTGGATTGGGACATATACCAATACTATAAATTTTTGGCAGAAAGAGGAGATGTTCAGATACAAGTAATGTATACAGATGAGACTGGATTATTAAAATGTGCAAGGGATTGTGGTTCTTTCTGAGTGCAAGAGGGACTGACAATGCCCCACCTTGAATGGGAAAAGGAAGAGACATAATCTCCTCCTTGCTCTCCTCTGTTTTGTCCCATTACTTGCAATTCCTTCAGCTTATTGAAGAGCTAGTTACCATAGTAATGGCAAGGTTTATTTTTGAAATTTCTTCCTGAGACATTAATTTTTTTAAACCTTAGATTTTAATTACCGGGGGGGGGGGAAGCAATATCTATTGCTGGTTTTAATACAGATGAATTTCTACAAGAATCCTGGGAGTGAGATATCATTTGTATGATCTTTGTGAGCCAAGAGATAAAGCCCTTATGTTCCCGTGCCCAGGTGTTGCTGTGTATCAGCCAGCCAGCTTCCTGTCATTGAGGAAGCCATATGCCTAATCATAACTAATTCCCCAATAAAATATATAGTCTGGAATACTTCCCTGTTTCTTTCAAAACATGCCAATTGTATCAAACTAAATCAATATGCTATAGTAAAACCATCAAAGAAATGCTTTCTTTAAGTTAATATTACTGCTAACATCATTTTTTAAAATTATCATTCCTAGGTATCCCTTGGACAGTTACATCTGATTGGGAGGAAAGGTCTAGATCAGGATTACAATGTAAGTCAATTTCACCCCTCAGTCATATGGGTAGGGAGAGTAGTGGTGAGGGAGGCTGGAGGGGCAGCCAAAAGGAAAGAAAGGAAGAGGTGGGGAGTTTCTAGGAAAGGTCCATGGTTACTTCCTTGCTCAGATCTGCTTCCTAGCTTCTGAGGAAAAACAAAGCTCACCAAGAGGGAGCACCTTCCTGCCTGCTTTCGTGTGCAAAGTAGTAGGGACTTCTGAGGAACAGCTGGGGAAGGCAGTGCCTATACACCCAACAGCTCCTTCCCGCCCTCACTCCCTGTGGGGCAGGAGTTAGGCCAGGAGACTGTCTCCATCTGTAGGCCTTGAGCACCCCCTTTCTCCAAAGACCAGCTGTTGAGAGTCCAGCCTGAGGACAAGTTCATCTCCATTTGGTTACACCAGAAGCTAGACTGCTTTTTAATAAAACAAAAAAAGACATCAAATGTGCTTATACATTTATAAAACTCCTTTCAGTTCTTTTGCTTAACCTTTCCTTATCCCAGTGAGCTTAGGGGATTAATTAACTACTAAAATCTATAGCAGAAGGAAAGAAAAGAGCCAACAAATCTGACCTAGGAAGGATCGTTGGGAGGAAGATGCCAGCGCCATGAGTTTTCATCCAGATTCTGATTGCTATTTCCAGGCCCTAAGCACCACAGACCTGGGGGAATAACTAGGATTCTTTTATTTATTAATTACTTATTTTATTTTATTGCACAATTAGGGATTAAACTCAGGCCCTTGCACTTGCCAGTGATGTGCTTATTTTACTGAGCTATCTCCCCGGCCCTAGGATTCTTTTAAAAGCTGATTTGTACCTATCATTTTATAGTAGCCATGCACTTATTGTCTCAAACTCTTATTTCAACATAATGGCTAAGTGATGGAAATTACTTTTATAAGGATGTTATATAAAAGAATGATGTTACTGCTTTCCAGTTTATCTTGTGTTCTTATTTCATGAATATGCCTTTTGTACTGTATTTTGTATTTTACATGAGGTACAGTAAGCATCAGGTAAATCTCAAAGTTAATTTCAAGACATGTGATAAAAAGATGTCAATTTAAATAAGCATATGCATCCCCAAGACAGCTCAACTGAAGGTTTTAAGATTTTTTTAACCTAATCATAAGCAAAGTTTTATCTGCTCTGATGGAAAATTCTGAATTTATAATATCACTCCACTGTCAAGATTTCAGCCCACAGTGAGTTTAATCAGAGGATGCATAGCTGGGAAGAATTTCTCATTCCTTGTAAACATGAACTTTGACTGGGTGTCAAGACACTCAAATCTGAGCTGTAAGAATGACACACCAGTCTTTGCATGGTACAATAAAGCTCCATAAAGTGATGTACTTCCAGGGAGGCCCAGCCCCCATGAACACCATGCATTTGCTGGAGAGGATAAAGGTGAAGTTCAAGCCCAGGGCCAGCCCTGAAGGATTTCGGAACTGTAGTGGCAGCAGCCAGGAAGCTGGGCACTACCAAGAGCCCAGCCAGACTCTCCAGACTCATTCATAGAAAGTTTTATTATGTGTCTTTTACAAATAAGGAGTTGAGTGTGTAGAAATGAGGGAAGTTGCTACAAGGTTCATAGCTTGGAAGAGAGTTTGGTTAAGAAGTGGAATTTAAACTAAGGTCTTCGGCATTCGAAACTTGTGCTCTTTCTCTTAAATTTTATTTCATTTTGGCCCAGCTCCTCCCAAAAACTACAGCCTTAAAAAAATATTTTCACAGGCCAGTCAGCTAGCTCAGTGGACTAAAGCACCTGCTTTGGCAGAGCTCAGTGACTGGGGTTCGATACCCACTGTGCCATGCCAGCCTTACTCCCAGGGCCCACTGAGACAGTGATTGAGACTGGGCATGGTGGCACATGCCTGTAATCCCAGCACTTGGGAGGCTGAAAACAGGAGAATCCCTATGAGTCTGACCTATGTAGTGAGACATGTAGTGAGACCCTGTAGACCCTGTCTTAAATTATATATATATATTCACTATTTATTAAGGAAAAAGTAGTAAGGGCTTGATCACTAAGTTCCTTATCTCCAACTTTCTGACAAGAGGTTCCACCTCCTGCTTCCCATTCAGACATTCCAAGAGGGCAAGTTTAATTCCTAAACAATCTCAGCAGCTGGAGACTCTCTGGGGCAAGTTTAGGCTGATCTCTTCTGTTGCCCTCAGCCTAATGAACCTGAACTTGATGGAAGTTGCATTTAAAATCTCAAACCCTAAGAATGTTTGGTTTATGTATCATTTAACTTAGTCTATATAGCAAACGATTTCTAAACATAGATGGCTTTAAACAACAATTTATTTAATTCTTGATTTTAGCAAGCCAGCAATCTTGGTTAGGCTCAGCTGAGTAATTCTGGTCTGAGCCAGGCTCAACTAATGTAAAATAGGCTTGCTCATGTCTCTATAACTAGGGAGTGAGAGTACTCACCAGAGCTAACTGGTTATTGATGGCTTTATCTCTGACAGCTAGGATGATCAGGATTTCTCTCCATGTGGTTTATCTTTTATCCAGTTGACCCTAGAATTTCACACAGCATTGAAAGTTTCTAAAAACACTTCTTCCTCAGCCTTTTTAGCCTAAGAAAATGCTAAGGCCAGCAAGACAGCATTGGTAGGGTAATGGACTTCTCCCCATAGGTAGAGTATTGTCTCTCAAAGGATGTGCCTCTCACAGTAGTAGACTATTGTGGTCATTTTTTAAACTTAGCATAGTTTAAAGTTGCACCAGAATCAACTCAGAATGACAGGGGTAACCTTTGGAGGAGAGGCAAGATAAAAGGATAAATATAATTTCTGAAAGGTTGTTACTATAGCTCTTCCCATGCCTGCCTGGCTTTTCATCTTTCAAGTTGTACCTCCTCAGGGTAATTTTCTTGACCAGTTCTATTCTTTCATCACTTACCTCATTGTGGTTATTTTCCTCATAGAACACAAATTATACTGATCTTTATTATTATCTGTGTTCCCACAGTGTAGTACATGTTCTTTTTTTGTCCTAATTACCTCTGAATATCTTGTATTCCTATCAATGCATGGAACACATGAGATACCCAATAAATATTTATTAAACAAATGAATACAGCCTCCTACATATTGTAGGTTGATTTTCAGCCTGAAAACCACCACTTGAACCTGTATACTCTTTCAATCCACCAAAGAAATCATTAGTATGAAGCTTCTTCAAAATGTGATGCCTCAGGGCCAGCCAGATAGCTCAGCAGATTAATGTGCCTGCTTAGGCAAACACAGCGACTGGGGTTCGATCCCCCAGCATGCTGTGTGGGCCCTGTCCCTGCGGCACACTGAGACAGTAATTGAGACTAGGCATGGTGTTGTGCACTTGTAATCCCAGCACTTGGGAGGCTGAAAACAGGATGATCACTCCAAGTCTAATCTGTGTAGTGAGACCCTGTAGACCCTGTACTAAATATAAAAAAAAAACAAACAAACAAAAATAGTGATGCCTTAATTTATTGCCAAGCAAAATCATATCAAAATACCTAAAAATAAGAACTTTGCCTTTGAATTAATGTTTCTCGTAAGTTGTCATCATGGCAGCATTTTCACCCTTCCCTTGATCCAATTCTTATTATAGTATAGTATATGCAATTCTTGATAACATTATC